CTGTTTTTGAACTTAAACATGTTCCTCTGCCACTTTGGTGGGTCAGATTGTCTCAGTTAGTTAAATTCAGTGGTAAAATAGACCCTGTCTGCAGTGGTTGGGAGTGTAGTAGACACATCAATCGGTAGGCCAATTAATGAGCCGATAAATGGCAGTTGGAAATAATTGGCATTGGTCGATGTCTGTGCTCACGAACCCGAGTAAACAAACAAATAATGTCTGCCTTACTGCGGGCAGCTTTGCCAGTGAGGCTTTGCCCATTTTGTGTCCATTTCAACATTCAGCAGATCTCAGGTGCTGTGAAATTTGTGGGCAATGTGCCAACGTTGGATTTCGCATTTCCATTCAACAAGTGGGTTTATGTGAACAGAAGTAACTAGCTTTATAGGCCGAATTTGTGACAGGAACTGTGCTCTATCACATCATTGTTACCACCAATCACTTGATAGATAGTATAAGATCAGACTGTTTAGTGCAAGTGAAAAAAGTTGTTTTTTTTCAAGGTGTTTTATTTAGGTTGTCAACAAGTATAACTAAATATATAGAAATATGCTCCAGGACAAGCGAAAGCCCTGAACTTTTACTTTAACTCTTGTGTACCCTGTTGTAAGTGATTGGCTAAATTTCCTCAATCACCCTAAATAACAGTATATCAAACCTACAACAGCTACTGGCGTAAAAAAGTCAGTATTGTTTCCTACATAAGTATAAGTCATGTGATATTTAATACAGGGATCTTTCATGTTCATTCGTTTTCTTTAGTATTCATAATGAAAATGTGTTTATTAAAGCAAACACTTTTAATGTAATATCTGCATTTTTTTATTAGCCACCAGCTAACCTGTTCTGTGATCCTCAGCATTTACCTTTTAAAAACTGCTATCTGTTGACCACCAGCTCTTAGCCTAACTTCTTTGGCTTTTCTATGCCTGGATTTAAAAAAAAGGGGGGGCCGTGCTGAGGGTAATAAACCTTGGTTGACAAGTACTTCATTTAACCCCACTTCAAAAAATACCAAACTATCCCTTTAAGTGAGTAAAATACCAAAGCAGATAAGTCAGTCTCAAGTCTGCTCTTTTGTGACAAGTGAAGGACTAAATTTTAGTCGCACAGGTGCTTAAACTGGCCTTAAACATTTACAGGCATAAAAAAGTTCAAACTAATCCCTCAAGAAGTGGCTTTTGTTTCCTCTCAGGTATAAAATTTGGATCAGGAATACTATCTCAACCCTAGTCTCCACTTTTTCCTGTTGTAACAGGTAAAAACAGGTTTATAAGACTGGATTAACCAACTGTATTTTCCTAGCTGAGATAAACAGTCATGGTGTGCTTTCTATTCACATCCCACAAGCTGATATTAGAGGGTCAGGTCATGGTCAGTAATAATACAATACAATTATTATCTAGTGAGAGATTTCAAGCAAGTGTGTTTCCAAAATAGATCCTGCTGCTATGGGACAGCTGGAGAGCCCTTTGGGGCCGAGGGTCAAGGACTCACATTGGACCGTGTAAGAGTTCTCCTGCCTGAAAGTCTGTAGCGTGCAACACAGTAATGCAACAGTGCTGCTCTCTGGCTTCCTAAAGGGTACCTACTTATGCTCCCCTTAACCTCACCATCTGCATCATGCTGCTATTTGGAGCCAAGGATAAATCACAGAAGCCCCTGTCCACACTGGGAATAGCTTCTTCCAGATAAGAAGGTCAAGGGTCGCATTTCTGGCTAAGGTTGACTGTCCTCGGGGCTAAAAAAAGAGCCTAGGGTTTGCAAAGCGGCACAGGCCAGCGCAGGCCCTCACACTTAATTAGGATCAAAAGAGGCATCAAACTTGAACTTGGATTTGGGTTACTGTGAGACATGGAAGTGGAGCGGGGAAGAATCTGGATCAAAATACAAGAACCAGGTCCTTCATGGCGGAGTATTTTGATATCTGTAACTGATTAAGGGTTAATAGACAAAGACACAATGTTCGGCTTATAAATCAGTAGCAGCTGTTTTCTGCATTAGTCTTGCCATTGTTATGCTGTTTCTAAGGTGTTTGTTTATGCTGCTCTAACCTAACAGGACCTCTGACCCAGCCAGAGGAATGCGAGACTCGAGACACCGTGTGGGAGGTCACCACCGTCATTTACATCCCAAACACACGACAGACTGTCAGGCAGAGGTTAAGGCTGGTCAAGTTCACAAAGGACAACACAGATCCCAAAACTCGGCAAAGGAGGGACAACTCTGCACACGCAAAGACAAAAAGCTCATACAGCCAGATGTAGGTTTTGTTAGTGCAGCTCTACTTTATTTGGGTTTAAGAGTAAAAGGATGAAGGAAAATGAAAAGTTTAGATGCAGTAGTTCGTGGTGGTTGGTTGTGCATCTAGGGCCATGTTTATACAATACACCTGTTACTAAAGAGGATTTTCACCTTGAGAATGCCAGAGGAAGGAAAAATGAATGAAAGAAAACCGATTTTTCATAGACTCAAGAAACACGATCACAAAAGAGGTCCCGCTCAGCCTTGCCACCAACAGTAGTGGTGCAAGTGTACACTGTGTTCACACATTTTTCTGACAGCCCGTTTGTGATAACACTATTCCCGGGCTTTCTTCGAACTACATTAGAATTACACACTGAATTTGAACCCACCTGCAGCGGTTGATATCCAAACTTCAGCGCCAGTTTATCACCTGGTTCTCAAATAAGAGACTCACTTAACTAATCCCTCGCTGATAGTACACCAACTATTAACAACTACCTCTTACAAATAAAATGAACTTTCTTCTTGAAGGAGTCAAAGCCAAGTGTTGAGTTTTGAGGTGGTTGAATGATGCTCCTTTTTGGTATTGCCTCTTCCTCTGTACTCACATCTCCAGGTGGTTTTGTGTCGCACATACTGTATGTGGCCATTTTCATATTTTGTCCTCTTCTATACATTCCTCACTTTACTTCACCTGTGCATATAAGAGCCATTGAAACTACTGAATTCATGCATGATAAAGAGAAAAATCGAATGAATGTAACCAATGTGCAGCAACCTCGAGAAGAAAAATCTTTAAATTACTTTTAAATACCTTTATAAGAATCGGGGCGATGAAGTTAAGGGTATTTTGCGAAGGTAAGATTTTGGGCGCAAATTTGAGGTGGTTTTAAGCCGCATGTAAGACTTCTCTGACATTCTCTTCTTTATACATTTAGCACGCTTTTCTTCTTCACGCACACATGATTCACTTATTTATTGTGTAGATATTAACCTTGATACCACTGAATACGGCTAACGCGGAGAAAGAGGATGAAAAAAAAGATTACATGAATGTTCCCAGTATGCAGCAGACTCTCTGTCAACCCTGGCAAAACTATTCACAGGGAAAAAAAAAAATCTCAGTGGAAAGATTTGCATAGAAGAAGACAGAAATTTGTCCTTGTCCAAATGAGAACATGGCACATCCAAACATGAGGAAAAAAAACCTTGATTTTCAGGTTGTCCTTGTCATCCTTTGATCCCTTGTGAAAAGGCTAGACAGTCATGCTGCAGTGATCAGTCAGGGTCAAAGTCATACTCCACTTTCCCTCCCTTACTCCCTCCCTCCTTCGCTCTCCCTGCTGTAACTACTACTGTAGTTTTGTGGCTCGGGCAGCTGGTGGTGCTGTAAGACTTGAGTCTCCCATGTTGCTTTTCTCCTCCGACATAACAAGGCTGTCACCTATTCTATCCTCCTTTGTCCTCTCCCCTCCATCACTCAGATCTATACGTCAATGCTGAGCCACTGCAGCATCCTCCGCCAGTCCCCCCCAAGCCAGTCTGCTTTAATGGTGTGAGGAGGGGGTACTAGTGTCTTAAACACACTGATCACCTTTAAACAAAGTACAAGAACAACAAACAGGTATTTTTCTTCATCAAGTGCACACAGATGTCCCCTTACAAAAGGAAAAACGACGGTATGAGAAGAGGTTTGAGGCTGGAATTGATACTCAGATATTAGTATGAGCATGCAAAATGAAAAGGGACAGTATCTTCTTACTATGGTTTTAATAACTGTGCGTGGTTCAATAGCATCATGTCTGCCACTGGGTCATTTGTGTGAAAGGTATTAATTGGGTTCCCTGCAAGGCCACACAGCCAGCGGCTCAGTTATGATTCCAGTAGGTAAATATTTGCCCACACTAACCCTCACTAGGTGCCATAATGATTCTTTGTGTGTTCCACTGTGTACAATGCATTTCTGTGTACACATCACTCACTGCCAACGTCTGCCTCTATGTGTGTGTCTGTGTTGCAGCTCAATCCCCCCCCCCCCCAACATTCCCTCTCCACAGCTGCAGCTCGGCAGAGTTTGATCAATAACGCGTCCTTCATTCTCAAGTCGGGCCTGACCTTGGCAGCCTTTTGTCTCCTTCCAGGGGCCAGAGTGCGCATGTACAGGTTGGAAAACAAGGCTCTCTAAAAATCCACCCTTGGAAGGAAAAAAGAATTCCCCTCACTGCTTCCACACGCACAGCATTCTCATTAAGAGCCTAATGAATCATATATTTATAGCGCTCTTATCTTAGCGTAATGAGGTGATGCCACTTTTGAACTCATTTGCTAAATCACCACAGGCCACATTGAAATGGAATAAACTTACAAATCTTTGCATATGCTGCCGCTGCGTTCATTTCCACCTGCACACGTCAATAGAAAAGAAAAGGCCAATCCGAACCTGACAAATGAACAAAGAGCCTCTATGTGCGGTCACAGACGACGGTAGCAAAGTAGTGCAGTCTTAGACATTTAAAAGCACTAACACATGGTAGTCTACTGCAGAGGGCAGTGGGAGTCAATGTGACAGATCTGTTTACATGTTAATGCAGCCTGACGTAGCCTGCAGGTGGCACCATTTATAGATTAGTCCTGCAGTCACTCTCTTTTTGTCTCATTCTGTAATGGATATTTAAATGGCCAGTAAGTGAAGGATTTCTTTGCAATGAGGCATATTGGATGGTAGCATAAAACTGCATTAAAACCAGCAAAAGTTAGTTTGGTATGCACGGGCACTCCATCATACACACATGAAATATGCTTTATGATTAACTCCACAGGATATAGGCTGAGTTCAGATCCAGGTACATTAATGGATTGAAGCAAACACTCCAATCAGTTGAAAGTTATCAAAGTCAGTCATCGTACAGAGCTGCGGGAATACTTTCAGAAACATTTTTCATATTTAATATAAAATTAAACAAGCTTAAAGATGGATCAGCATTTTGAAAAGTGGTTTTTATAAAAATCTTTGCTTCATTTTTTTAGATTTATATATAAAGTATATAATCGGTTCTCAATCATATTATTTGCACAATAAAGTAAATGCAGGATGATGAGCGCCTTGTACACAGGCCATTCAGTAATGGGTTTCTGGAGGCAAGTCATATCAAGATCAATTACAAAATTAGCATATTAGTGCAGAGAAATTACAGAACTGTGGTCTAATCCTTTTAAAGCCTTGTGGTAAAACAGTAGTAGATCTGCTTGCCTTTTGTTTGCTCCAGGGGTAAACTTTTAAGTGAATGATTTATCTGAAAAAATGCCCATCTTTCCACTTCCACTGCTACAGTCCTACTGGCAGTGAGGAAGCCTGTTTAATTCAGGAATTAAATCACAAGATATTAAAATATGAACAACACCTCCTCACAAGAATGACAATTAGGCCTGTTCAAAGCTTACTGTCTGCAAAACTTACTCTATATCAATACAACCACTGAGAGCAGCACCCCTCCAAATTTTTGTATATAAAAGTCACAAACTCTCAAATCAAAAACTCAGGATTTATTCACGTGTTCCATTTTTACAAAAGCAAACCTACCTCTGAAACTGAGGCTTTACAATACCAAACAAAAAGGCAGTAGCCACAAAATAAAAACACAAAAACACTTGTCACACTTTCCTCTTCTGGGTGCTGATGTACAGAACTGTGGACAGAAAGAAAAAAAAACATAAGTTTTCAGCATCACATGACACCTACGATACTCATTTATCATTTTCTGACACATCAGTCCTTGTTTGCTGTTCGATTTATCATATTTCCCCAGATTCTTTGAGGCCAATAATCTAATAAAATGTTTAGGATATCAAGATCTAGTACACAAGCCATAAAAGATTGAAGTTATTCAGTATCAAACAAGAGAGGTCAGAGAAGTTAGATTATAAATACTGATTCCTGATCCTAGTTTACAAAAACTGGACTGAACCCAGTAAAAGACCTTGCAATAATGGTACATTCATATGAATCTGATACTTGGCTGACAAATAAGATGTTCTTTACAACTGACTTTTGAGCATTTACTCTAAATGTAAGGACAAAAATAACCCTGCATGTGAAACACTGGTCCACTACTGCAGATAAAACTTTTTAAAAAGTGGCATTTTTTATCTTAAAGAGAAATCAGTGAACACGGATCACTCAGGGTAGAAACGAAAGGTAACAGACTGTATAGAAAAGGCATTCAGGCAGAGCTTTTCTTTAAAAAAAATGTAAATCTACTTTTATCAATCTGCTGCTCGGTCTGAAAATAGTCCCATCTCTGACTGTTGGCCTTTTTGTCTGACAACTCCACCACCCAGCATGACTCACTCTCACACAGTAGATACAATGCATGGCTAGCTTGAAGAAAATGTGGACGGATAAATGAAGTTGTGTTTTTGTGTAGCTGTTCTGAAGACTATATTTATGAAAACAATTTTCAATGTGTAAAAAAGAGAGAAGAAGAAAGAGAAGAATAGCAGTCATTCCAGGTAAGCAAGGATCCAGGTTCAAAGATCATTCAAAACTAAAAGTCTTGTTCTATGTTTTATCATTATAATTGTCTATTATGTATTATTACCATTGTTGATGGTTGATTAAACCTCATTTTCTTAAGTTAGACAAAGAAATTAGGAACATTCAAATACAGGTTCAGTTGTCTCACAAACATTTTTTTAACTGGCACTACTTGAAATGAATCACTCAATCCCTAACCCCCATATGGGGTTTTACTATATAGTTGACTATGTAGTGAACTAAATCACCTGCGTGGCATGACGCAATGCATGACGGGATGCCCACCACCAGTGGGTGACCATCGGATGGTCACTACATTTTGTAATACTCTATAGGAAATTTTGAGTCACCTATATAGGGCACTGGAATTGATCACTGAGGTTTCGGACACCCCTCAAAATGGCACTAACCCCCATGGAGTCACCTATATAGGGGTTGGGGATCCATTTCGTACACAGCCTTAATCATTTTCTCTGAAATCTTTTCCTACAGGGTTCTTCAGATGTCTGAATATTTTAAATCAGAGCGAAGTTTTAACAACACAATTAAAAACACCTGTTTGAGAAAAAAGGTTTGTATTTAAAAATTGTCCTCAAACCCATTGTTTTGATGTAAGATAAAGCCCAAAAAATGTCTACTATTATTGTTGTTTATTGGTCAGAAACATTGTTTCTTCATAAACCCACAGAATACTGCGTCTTTATAAACATAATCCTGCCTCTCAAATTAGATAGATAGATAGCATTTCTCCTTAAACCTTCGTCAAAGTAACATTGCTGCCCTGAAATGTGGTTTTCCACTGAGCTCTTACCATTGTTCCCTCTCAGGAACGCATCTCCGTACTTGTTCTTCAGCTGTCCATTGACATACTCCTCAGTCTGCTCTATGGCGATGTTCATGTAACCATCCAGGCAGGCCAGGACACCTACAGACAGCATATGTTGAATGGTGTGAGTGCTGCTGAGACTTTCATTCATTTCAAATGAAGAAACCCCTCCTTGACAAGCTCACATGCTGACATCTTTACCTCTGTAATCGACTCCTGAATTCAGTTTGACGACCACAGGCCTCCCGATGATCTGCTTCAGGAAGTCACTCGGAGTTTGCTTTCTTAGACTCATTTTAACTGGAAACTGGAGAAGACAGAGAATTTTGTGTTATGATAAAACATTATTGTAGAGGCAACACACGTGCTAACTCGCTTTCTTTAAAGCAGTCGTACTGTAAGTATTCATTTTTCACTAAGTCAGTCTATTTTCCCTCAGTATGTTGCATATAGTGTGTACAGGCTCGTCATTAAGTTTATATTCTAACCTGACAATAACGTCACAGCAAATCCATCACGTTAGCTTTTAACTCAGCCCCCACTAGCATACAGGCTAGCAGCTAACCAGCTAACTGTCTGCTCTTCACTGATAGTTGTTGCTCATTATGGTCGGTGTTAGGATCGGAAGGAACACAGCGAACATTTACAAGCAATAAATCAGCCAACAACCTAAATGCACAAGTCCTTGTTTTTAGTTTTAGCATCGCGTTAAAGCATTTCACTTACCCAGGAAACGTCTATCAAACGATTGTGTTAAACCTCAGACGTAGGGGGACCAATCAGAAGAGAGTGCTGTACGGCGTCCGAGCGAGGACAAAAGTAAAAGCAGCGCCGTTATCCTGATCGTGGAGTTGTCTGTTGCGTATCCTCATTGAGTAGAGATACAAAGTGTGTTTGTCGTAGTGAGAATTTTAACACTATGTTGAAGTTACAGCCCAGTGAAAACCTTATTCGAGACACTAAGATTAACCTGGCCACAGTTCTTAAGGCAAAAGCAAATAGAAAAATGTGGGCAGTTTTCAAACTCAAACTAAATCAGAAAAGTTGAATGATTGTAAGTAGGATTTTCATTCAAATTATTTAGTTTAAAAAAGGTCTGCTCCTGTAGTTCAGCAAGTTACATCACTGAAATTTTTGACATTTTTATATGCAGACAGAATTTTCCAGTAGCACTACTGTTAATAATCCTCATATTTTATTTTCCATCACATAACTTTGGTTGAACATGGTTGATAATCTTAAAATATAAAAACTCTGTAGGCTAATGTACAGTATGCTGTGATATCATAGACTGTATAAAATAACAGACAGAACCAAGGCTATCCTCACCAAAGAGGACTTTTATATCTCTCCCTGGTGACTGGCTAAAACATACATCTGAAACCCACGTCCTATATTGTAACAGATGGGATGTGTGCCAAACTAGATCATCAAAATGCTTCTCTGTTAAAATTTTACTGAAACACACTTGTCATATAGAAGTTATATAACTTATTGTATCATGAAGAGGCATGCAAATGGTTTAACACTGTGGGTGCAGAACATGCAGACAGGTACATAAAAATGATCATAGGATCATACAGTAAAGTCATATGGAGTGAAGCCTAAACTACTAAATGTGAAATGGCTGCAACAATAGAATTCCACAGACAAATATCTCAGAGTCAGGGTGTTCGGTTTTCTGCTGACATGGTGGTAATGGCATGGATCTCAGGTTAGTTTAAGAGAGGAGTGCGGTGGGGTGGGATTCGGTTTCACGTTGATCTGATTTTGGATCAGATGTCTCATCCTTTGTTTGTGCTGTACTTGTTATTAATATTTTAAAAAACTCAAAAATATCTAATCACCCTTTGAGGGAGTAATTTGACTAAAAGTCTTACACTGGACGGATCTGCTTATTAAATTTAAAGTTAATGAGGGATGTCGAAGAAACAGTAAGGTAGGCTGTGAGGGAAGTTTGGCTAGAATTGATTGCAAATAATGTCAAACCTTTCGTTTAGTTTTTAATATCAAGGCAAAAATGACTAAAGGGACCATTAACCCTAAATTGTCTTAATAAAATTACGCAGCAAGACAATTAAGTTTTTAGTTGTTTTTTTTTTCCTCTTGTTCAAGAGTAAAATAATAGTTGCAATGGTGCATAATTATTGTTCTTTGCCTGATCTTCACGAGCAATATGAATGTGAAAAATTAATAACGTGTTTATTGTTTATAAATTTTAAGCAAAATTTGAAGTTGGTTGATTTAAAAGGGAGGTATGAATTGCTCACCAAGACCTGATGAAGTAAAAAAATAAATAAATAAAATTCAGTATCTTCTGATATTTTGGTGCAAACCTACAAAACTAAAGCCTAACAGTGAACGTTTTCTCTTACATATACATTATTTGTTTGAATCAAATTTTTATTTACAATGAATACAATAATTTCATGTTTGTTTTTAACCTGCATTTACCTACTTTAAGTGGTTGCAGACAAATATTTCACAGATGTTGGACAATTTTCTTCCTCAAATGCCTTTGACTCTAAAATGTCTAATATTTTATTAGATGATCATTCACCAATCAATGAATCTTTAATTATGTAGTTCCCATCAGAACAAATGTTATCTCACAATGCTTTACAAAAGAGCTGAACTAGAGCTAATCATTATATTCACAAAGACCCAACATCAAAATAGGAGAAGACTCAGTCCCATCTTGTCAGGTCAGACCAACTCTTATCCCATCTTAATCTACAATGAGCATAATAATTTGCAGTGTTTAGTAAATTACAGAGTTATTATAGAGACCCTTTCATTTTTTAAATCTGTAATGGATTATTTCATCTTACATCCCTATGGACAAATCTGCTACAAAAGTATATGGTTTATTTTTTAAACCCCATCCAGCTTAACTTTGTTGTTGTTTCTGTGAGTGTAATTGAAATTAAGCTCCAAGAGGTTTCAGACCTTTTGGCCATGTTATTTTTGCTAAGGCTGGGCTGAGTTGTGAAGGATAAGAGAAAGTCTCCCATCTGATAAAACTCTGGTTGCTGGGTGCATGACCCAAACACGGCACAGCTTGGGAGGTACATGAAAAATAGTGTAGGGGGGAAATAGGGATGGAATGGAGAGGTGAGAGGTAGAAGAGGATAGAGGGAGGGAGGATGTGCCAGAACGTGTTAACTGAGACAGAGGGGTTGAGAAAGAGAGAAAGAGAGGTAGAGCCAGATAGAGAGCGAGGGGGCTATTGTGAGAGGTGGAATCATAAAGTACTTCTTGTGTGTCTAGACAGGTTGCTTGTTAGCAGGGCATGGCTAGCCCTGTGGAGGCTAGAGGTTAATTTGGTATCTGCTGCTGTGTTAAACTAAGGTCAGTACTACAAGTCCTTAAGTCATAAACAAGAGTGGTTAAGAGCCATGTATACACCTAGGCACCGGTTAATGAATATTCAATGAAGATATTTTTTTCCCTTCGCCCCCTGTTCCTTTCGTTGTCGCTTTCTTTGAAGGAAATTTTTAAAAAGAAAAAAATCCCCACAGTTTATTTCTGTTGCCTTGAAATGTGACCTCTGTGTACTTACATTTACTTGTCCTTTTTTATCATAATGCATGGCCTCAGTCGTAATAGAGAGTGGCTTTTTGCTATCTAAAATGTGGCACGCTTATTATGCAGATCTGTCCCTGAATGCACCAAAAGTGACTACCCCCTAATTTCATTGCTTCATATAATAGAAGCAATAATGTAATGATAATGTGGCCATTTTTTCCAGGTCATAAAGTTTTTTTTAAATAAACCTTGAAGTTACGATCAGGGCTATGTCCTCAGTGGCATTTCATGCAGATGTTTAATTTGCAGGTCAGTAAATGAGAGCTTAAACTGAGCAATCATGGAAAGATTGAAGAATCCAGGGTGAGAAGTGTGTTTTGCTAGTAACCTGCAGAAACTTCACCTCTGATGGCTAATAATATAGCTAAAATGGGGTTAATGGGTCTCAAATCATAGTGAACACTACATTTCAATTTTTTACCACGCATTACATGTCAGCGGTGGACACACATTCTGCAGCCTTTGCATTATTAAGGTGTGTAGGAGTACACTTTTGAAATGTCAACCCCTTTACTTCACCGTTGTAGCAATTGTGTAAGGAAGGGCTCTGCTTTTCTTCTATCTCTTATATTTTGATATATAATCAAAATTCATGACATTAGGGTAATTACAAGTAATTGGGGCATTCATTTTCTTGTCTGTAAAGCTAGTTCAAGTAAAGCTGAATCCACAGTCAATGCAAAATTTCAAGGATTTTATTCTATGTTTTGTTATTTTATTTTATATCTTATCCTGTGAAGTTGCTCCAGACCTTTACATGTCCTGTATAAAAATGATTCCACATATCATCAGTGATAGGGACTAAAACCAGAGCTGAAAGAGAATGAATAATGGACTCACAATTGTCAGGTTGAAGAAAAGTGACCATAGAGTTGTGATAATGTGATTCAGTGCCTGCTGGATGTGCAGTGGATATTTCACTAACAGCTGACACTATTTCATGTTGAATAATAAACTGGTTATTAATCACTTGCTGGTGTTTCCCTCATGTAGACAAAAAAAGTAATTCCTCTGAACGAGTAAATGAGAGAGTGAATAAATGAGAAAATGAGTGGATAAATAAATGAATATTTTAGGGTCCCACCCAGCAAATACCAAACATCTCAACACCATAACATCATCAAGAGGACTTGAACCAGCCCGAAGAATAACACACACATATAGATATACATAAATGCATAACTATATGCATACATGAAGTGCAAATACATGTTGCACATATGCATATATTAACAGCCTCCTAATCTGAAACCCAAATTCCATCATAATGAGCTAAATAAAGAATCACTAAATAGATAATGAAGAATAACATACAATTAACATTGGATTGAATAATATCTCTGCAGAGGTATTTAGAAGCAGCATCACCAAAAGGTAATCCATCAAAGGAGCATATGAATCAGACCTAACATGAAATGCTTTTTTTTTAACAATATTGTTTAAAAAAAACAACATGGGGAACGATACTGAATAAGATCAATTTAATTTCCTCTCATTTGTTTCATAGTATTCACAAATTCTTCCATCTCCAGACACACCTCTGAATCTCCCAGTTTCAATATGAAGTGAAATGATACCATCTCTTAACCCTGCACACTGTGATCCGTGACTTTTGGGTGAGTTATGCTTAAAATATTTCTTACACTTGAATATTTTGAATAAACAATAATTCCTCAATTTCAGCAGAAGCAAGATTTCTTCTGCCCATGATTTAGTACAGCCAATACTTCTTAAACTCCTCTATTTCCACAGTGGCTATTTTTAGATACTTTTCTCAAGTCCACACTTTTTATTCTCTGTATGAGCACTTCAAAATGCATACCATGATAACTAAGAAGGTATGTTGATGAGGAACTGTGGGACGACAAGTAGGAGTTTTAGACATAAACAATATTGAAGGTATCATTGTTTGTACTGCATTGTTGTATTTTTGACTTCATATCTTCAGACTGCTTTTTTTATATCAAGGTTTATTGGGAAATATTTCTTGAACTTCAAAAAAAAAAAATCTAAAATATCAGTCTCAACAATTTGTGACATTTCTTCAAAATCCTTTGACCGTCAATGTAAAATTGGTCAGCCAGAAAGCACAACAGCACTGCTGTCAATTGAGAGACAAATCCCCTCTCCATCTCCAGACCCTTTAACCCCGAGGGGCGGGCCAGTGAAATAGAAAGATTATGGTGACGGGAGATGCTATTGTAGGTGGGAAATAGAAGGACTGGACCAACGGAGGCAGAGGCTTGAGGTGAGTGGGAATAAGAAGGGG